TCTTCCCCACCTATTCCACTATTTTTCTCTCCCTGAATACGTATACAATCCCAGGAGAGAAAATTATACCTTCTTGATAATTCGTGATGAACAATATATATGTCCAGAGGTAATGTATTTATGTTATTACATTGAATAAAATATGCACTATTTTTCATTTTACTTTTAACTTTCTATGAAAGAGGTAACAAAACAATAATAGTGAAGGAAAAGAGCTACAATATATGGAAGGAATTAGTGCACAGGATCATCTACATATTCTCCCCCCTGTACTTAAGAATCTTTCAAGGGGCCAGGAAGATAGCTCAGTGGAATAAGCACTTGCCTGGCAAGTACAGGGTCCTGAGTTCAATCCCCAATACCGAAAAAAAAAAAAAAAAAATCTTTCAAAGTAGACAAACTGTACATTAAAAATGAACATGCCATCACATCACCTCTACTTATAAAATAATAACCAATGATGTCATAACCCATTATCAAATTTGGTCTTTAAAATGAAGGCCTTATACAGTAAGTGACCTGGTAACCAAAGAACAGAGCGTGGCATACACATCAAGCAAATATCCCATCAGCTGGGTATTTGTTGCAGCTGAGCCCTTTCAACACACATACAGATTAATTTGAAAGTGAAAGGTGAAGAATGCCTGAAATTCTCAAACAAGTGGTTTTTTTCATCTTTTTTTCCTAAGTTAAAATTAATTTGTTGTAAATAAATTGCATTCTTCCACATGGAGCTGTCCTCAATTTTTAGAGAATTCATAAAAAGTGTGGTTTTCACATTGCCATGTATCATCGGGTAATTTAGTGGGAATGTTTGAATCTGAACAATTATGTATGCCTGTGTAAATGTGTGAGTCATTGTCCAGGAGTCAAAAAGGGACTGCAGTTTTAATATTTTAATGGATTGGCTGGCTATGCCCACAAAATAAAGCGTTTCTTGCCTTTATGTTTTTAAGAGACTTAAAATCTGTTCATCTATTCTGCAAACATTTCCAACAAAGTTACAAGTAAATGAATGACAAAAAAAAAAAAAAAAGGAAAAAATAGAATATTTTGCAGGCACTCAAATTTTGTTGAAATTAATGAATCTGATCCTGAAACTAGTAGTTACTGAATTCAGGGAATTTTACAGAGAATATTGCTCCTCTGTTGTAACAAATCTACAAGGTAGTTATTAATCCTAGTGCACAAAAGAAGGAACTGGGGTTCCCAGAAGGAAGAACGTGGTTCTCCCAGAATCTCACTCACAATTCACCATGGGATCAGTCAAATTCTGCCGTATTATTTATCAATGATTAGAAACAAAGCATAGAAAGATAGTCACTGAATCCAGAGTTCAAATTAGGTCATCTAATGCCAGTGACAGTTAACTACTGACATACATCTTATCTAATCGTACAATACTTAAGAACTTTCTGCCACTTTGAGCCCCAAATTTAAAGAACTTTAATTAAAATACATAAATTATCCATCATCCTACCTCATAGAGAAGTTACATACAGTTTTCATTATGGACTTACACAAGTCAAATAGCTATTTTTATTTAATATTAGGACAGGCTAATTACACATCTTAATGTCTTCTCATTGTTTCATAAACATATATTAATACACCCTCCTTTGCCATAATAAAAAAAACTGCTTTTCACTTGAATTCCAGTTGTCTGGGATCATTCTCCATGTCAGCAGTTCTGTTCCCCTGATCTACCACCTTTCCAATTCTGTTACTTTTCTTCATGCCATTTTGTTTTCAATACATTCTGAGGTCCTCAGAGCTACCTGCGATGTAACAGCTAGTAATTCTCTGACAGAAACCCGAGAAGCCTTGCGGTGAGCTGATTACTAGCTCATCTTCACTGACAGGCTGACATTAGCAAACCTAAAACTCACAAGGCAACTGAGCAATTCTGGTTTATAAAAATAATATCCAAATGCATGAATTACTTAATTCACCTTCATGTAGAATTCCCAGCTGGTGATCCATTTGTCTTCTCAAACATTAAATTATTTCAAAATAAATCATCTAATATGTAATGGAGGTGTTTCTAATCAGGTTTTTAGGGTTGCATTTATTATGGTGAATGTACTCCAGAAATTCAAAATGAACAAAACCACCCAAAGTGGAGGATAAAGGCCACTGAGATAACTCAGGGGCATAAACACCTGCCTGCCAAGTGCAAGGTCCTGAGCTCAGTCCCCGGTACCAAAAAAAAAAAGTGGATGATCAGCAAGATGTCCCCTAAAAATCCCCCAAAACTTAAGATTAGGGAAGTATCATGCATTCAGAGACTGGGTATATTTTTATGTTTTGTTGAGTATTTTTATTGCTGTTACTCTCCACAATATTTGCCACATAGATCCTCAAATATTTCTACTAATTAATTAAATAGAATGATGATGCTCCTACTTTTAAAAATATTTTAAAACTAATATACATCTTATTTTTGTTTTGTGTGCATTGTGACAATTGATCCCAACCCTGACATTACAGCGTATGTCTCGTAGAGCCTCAAGCTAGGGAAGAACCTTAAGCATAACACTTTACAGACGAGAAGGAGCTCAGAAAACTAAAGTAGCTTGCTCAGAGATACACAGACAAGCATTTGGTTGTTCAAGGCACCATAAGAATCCAGTTGCCTGAATTATGTAATTTTCTCTATTTCATCAACTTAATTTACCTGTGTTAAATAATTTAAAGTGTTGTAAACTTTACATCTAACATCAATGCATTTAAACATAACCATTAAAATAACAAAAACCTGAGTTGGAATACTCCAAGGGTCAATTAACTGATTGATTAATTGGCAACGTCTTAGTATTAAGTAAATTCATTTCCCCTTTCCTCCTTGTAAATCATTCTGAATAAACAGCAAATCCCAAGGGACAGAGACATGTCACTATCAGACCACTAAGTGAAAAGGAGCTCCCAGCACAAGTACAGTCCATTCTGAAGCATGTACACTAGCGTGATGGAATACAAGAGTGCACACAACACCTAAATCAACTAGGAAGTACAATCTAAAACGCCCTGGAGCTGACTATTCCATGTGGTTAAAAAAAAAAAAAAAATCTCAGCTCTTATGAGGCAACAGATTTTACAAATCCCATCTCCCCAAGTGTTTTACATGGAAGTTTAGGATCTGAAAATGTAGAAAAATAAATCTACTTGAACTTCACGAGGCAATGTCCTGCTTGCTGAATAAAAGAATATGGGCAGAGACACACAAAAATAAGTCGCTACTTTGAATACATCTGCCTGCAATGTGCATAACCAATGATAATTTTTCTGTATAAGTTGGGTGAGGTTTAAAATGTTTACTTATACTGTATGTAACCTGACAGACATTTTTCAAAATAGAAAATAATTGCAGCCTAAAAAATACATAGAGCTGCTGCATAGCGTGATCATCATATTTTCAGATGTCTTCTTCTAAAAACTATGATCTGGGTATACATTTGTTATGCCAGATTCATTCAAATTTTATTACAGAAGTAACAGAGAACACTTCCTCTCTCTTAATCTGGCAGCAAATATTTCCAGTTTATTTTAGTGATTCCTCGTCTTAAGCTGTTGAAAGTAGCTGGTTAAATTGGCATCATCAAAGGCACTGCCATTACTTTGTAAAAATTTGTGAATTCTGATTCTTAAGCAAAATAAAACAGTTATGAAGACAATTCCACCAGAACTAATCCTTATTTTTAGTAACATCATAGTATCAAGCACAAATCTGTTGTGCTGAAGACTTAATATATTGTATGAACGTTGCCACAGATGCTGTTACCAACTTCCCCTCATAAAGGATGGCCTGGAACCAGATCCCATGCCTGTCTGTCCCTCTCCTGCAGTCCTTCCTCCCCTCATGGACCATGCACATGCAACAGAGAGACCTGAGAACAGTCAGACAAGACTAGCATTCTGGTGCATTTGGGAAACTTCGACGAAGTTAGTGTCTCTGGGGTGCAGAGGGGAAAAGCTTTGGTAGAAATTTAACTCTTTGGTTTTGAGATCTGGGCAAGGATAAGAAGTGGATGGAAATTTCATACTGAATTTCTTGAATTCTGTCTGCAATACAGTGGATTCCTTGAAAAGAGAGTTCACCCCGACCAGGAAAGCTGGGTTAGAGGTCCAGAATTCCCAAAAGATTCTGAAAACCAGAGGGAGACTGGTGTGTCCCTACAGCAGTTGACAAGGGTGTCGGAGATCAGCACAAGTTTAGAAAAGTCTTGGGAGTCCTTTATTCGTTCAACAACTATTCACAAAGGGCCTAATGTAAGGAAGGCATGAAAAAGTGAGAGAGAAAGGCCTGGCGATTTCCAGAGCAGGGAAAGTAAAAGATGAGGTAAGTGTGCTCCACACACCAGCCAGGTTTAGAAAATCCTACCAGGCTTACCCGGACAAGGCTGAGCCCATAAGCGTCCATAAGTAAGAGGAAAGGGCAGAGAACTGGAGAGATTGGGTTTGCGGGTCAGGAGGCAACCTAGAAAAGTTTCTGACAGGATTCCCAAAGGCTTGGAGAAGGGAGAGCGAAGACAGCTTGTGGAATTCGAAGATGTCACGAGAGGTCACGCTAAAGCCAAGAGAGTGTGGGAAATGCAGCGAGGAAGGGCTTCTGGCGGGGGCTGGGCTCCTTGGGGATGTCGGAGAGCAGAGACGAAAGCCGAGGACACGGAACTGCGGAGCAAGGGCCTGGGAAAGTTTGGGGCTCAGAGAACAGGTGGGTGTGCAGGAGCCCAGGGCTCCAGGAGCAGCAGTGGGGCCGACAGGGACCCCGCCGCGGCAGGAGGACCGGCGCTGGCGGCTGGAGGCGGGGGAAGCGCGGACCCGGTCGCTGGGGCTCTACCCCGAGCGGGGTTCGGGCTAGCGCGGGTCGCCCCGAGTCCTAGGCCGCAGGTGAGGCCGGGCCGCCCCCCAGCGGCCAGCCCGGTGCGCTCGCCCCAGCCGTGGCTCCAACTTTCCCAGCCCGGCGCCCTCTCCCGACGCGGCCCCTCCGCCCCGCTCACCGAGGGCGCCGTGAGGCGGCCGATGCTCTCCCCCAACGAGTCCAGGTTGACCCGCCGGCGGCGCTGCGCCCTCCGGGTTCCGGCCGTGGCCGAGGCGGCGGCGGCGGCGGAGGAGGAGGCGGCCGGG